AACTCAATGGACCTGCATCTCCTTCTTTAATGGTGACAGCTGTAATCGCCTCCGCGCAGGTCTTTTAAGATTTATTCCACTAAAACCAAAACATGCTGCTGTATTTTCCACACATGAAGCCCTACTTAACTCGCAACAAGTTTCCTCCTTGGTCTCGGAAGGTTAAAGGCATTTATAATCAGTGGCACGGGTGACGCTGCATCCATCACAGTTGGCGTTGCTGTGGCTGCAGCAGGATGCGACCTGACAGGAATAAATGACAACGATCACACAGCAAGACACCCCCATTAGCAAACACAGAGCAGCATGGCCGCTGATGGGCCAGACAGAAGGCGGCTTTAAAAACAAGAAGTTAGGCGCTTTGTCACAGTTCGATGACGGTTTGGTTAAATAAGGAAAGTCAAAGCAGTTCGAGTATCTCAGGATTTTGTTCATGAGGTGCTTCACATCAACAGACGGATCGGTGCGGCTTCTGCAGAATTGCAGACTCTGTTCCGGTCCATTGTGGTGAAGGGGAAGCTGAGCTGTAAGGCGAAGCTCTCCGTTTACCGGTTTGTACCCTCTTTGTGGGCACCAGCAACCAAGATCGTAGACATAGGTGGTCAAAGTGCGTTTCCTCCACAGGGCAGCCGGACTCTCCCTTAGAGATAAGAGAAGTTATCAGGAGAGACTTGGAGTAGAGTCGCTGCTCCTCCACATCGAGGAACGAGTTGAGGTGGTTCAGGCTCCCTGGGCGCCTTCCCAGGGAGGTTCTTCTGGCATATCTGAATAGGAAGAGACCCCAGGTGGAGAGACTGTCCCTGGACTTGGAATGTCTTGGAGTCCTCCCAGAAGAGCTGGAAGTGGTGGCTGTGGAAATGAGATGTCTGGACCTCAAGCTGCTGCCTCCGCAACCCAACTTAGAAACAAGCAGAAGATGATGGATGGATGGAGATAAAGTTGACGTAAATTAAAAATATCAGGCTACCGACCGAAACGAGGGCGCCGACCGTTTTTCTTTCTCGATACTGCTCTGCAAAGAGCACGCTCTAACGGTCTTTCACCTCCCGTCAGCTCACTCAACTCAAGTGGGCGCAGAGACGGAGCCGGTAAGAATTATTCAAAAACTGACACTGGCAGCGATAAAGTTCGATATAAATGATATGACTGTGAGGGCCCGGCTGTTTTTCACCAGAGCTCAGTCATCGAATCAACTGTCAGAAGTCGAGTGCGTCATTGATTTCTCTAAACAAAAGGATGACACTCAGCTGGCAGTGACTCTCCGGGGTCCCTGGAGATTCTTATTGTTGCTGTAGACGTCTCTGAACATGTAATCACTGACACTGCACACCTAGCCATTGCTTCCTTGTTGTTTGAAGCAACCTATTCTTATTTTAAGATGAGCAGAAATGTCTTTAATTTAGTTTAAGTTCCGAATATAACAAGAAATATGATAAAGGGTTACAATGTTAATCCCAAATGTTTTTATGCACAACCTACAGGTTAATTATCCATTCATACACTAGTCTTAATTTGTATAGAGTTTAATCCAAATACAAAGTAATGACGGAGCAGTTGATAAAGAAAGAAACCAATAAAACCGAGTTTTCACTGCAAGCGTTCCTAGTTTGACACATTGCGTTACTTTTATATCCTGTAAAATTTTAAATAGAGTTTGAACGCTATTAATAATCACAATCCCCTCAGGAAGGAGGTTGAGGAGCATTAAGTGTAGAACCACTAGACTGAGGAACAGCTTCTACCCTGAAGCTGTTAAGACTCATGAATCTCTAACCAGGATTATCACTGTAATGCAACTTTGATTTTTGATATGTGCTGCTGATTAAACATGCTGCTGATTATTTCATGCTGCTGATTATTTCATGCTGCTGTATTCATTAATTCATACTCATCCACCCACAAAGACTCATGTTTGTGTTGCTGTTGTTCGGTGTATTGTTTTGCACTATTAGTGACTAGCGTACATCTTAGATCTTTTAGCGTACCGTTTGGCATTTGCTTAGCGTATATCTGGGTTTATATCTTAGATCCTTTTTTACCGCTTCTTTTTATACTTCATATTTTTGCTATTGTTGGATGTAACTGGGACCGTATGTATACAAATTTGTTCCACCTCATGTACCACATGTGATGCAAATGACAATAAAGAACCTTGATGTTGACCAGTACATTATGTAGGTTTTGACTTTTGGTTTTTGGTAAAGCCCACTTGATGACTCTCCACTACTAATTCCGAATGCTACAAGTTAGCGTCATGATTCAGCGTGTCAGCGTTAGCAAGCAAACTTTTAAAGTATAATTAGAGCAAAGTTCAAGAAGTAGTTACCGTAAGTAATTTTTTATGAATATTAAAAACAGTGACGAATGCTAAGCATGTTAGCATTATGCTAAATGCAAACGCTAACATGCTAAATAAATCCACTAGCATGTTAGAGTTAGCAAGTGAATGCTATGTTTAAATATATTGCTTATTCAAGGGCGGCACGGTACCGGTACAGCTGCTGCCTCTCAGCAAGAATGTCGCCGGATCAAATCCCGCGGTCCGGGACCTTTCTAGGTGGCGTTTGCATGTTCTGTCCGTGCATGCGTGGGTTTTCTCTGGGTACTCGGGTTTCCTCCCACAGACCAAAAACATGCATGTTAGGCTGATTGTAACTCTAAATTATCTCTAGGTGAGAGTGAATGGTTGTTTGTCGTGTTTGTCTCCATTTGTCCCTGTGATGGACTAGAGACATGTCCAGGGTGTCCCTTGCACAGTGACAGCTGGATATGGGCACCAGTGACCCAACGGCCCAAAAAGGAAGAGGGGAGTAAAAGAAAATGGATGGATGGTTATTCAAATAATTTACTAGAAAGTTTTGACCAGATACATGTTTTTGCAAATAAAAAGTCAAACACTAAGTATTTTATCATTGCCATATGCTATACTAAATGTACATGCTAAAATGCTAAAAAATAAAACGTGAACAAATAAATACCAATATAACATGACCATTAAAGCAACTTAGAAGAAACCTTTAAAGATGTGTGATTTACGCAGTCACAAAACAAAGTGTTTTAGCAATCTACCAAGGTTGAGTCAGGTCCTCTGGACGGATTCTTCTTTGTTGAAACGTTTCGTCTTTTATCCTAAACACTTCGTCAGTCCGAGGAGCTGCAACAAACTCAGTCTTATAAATAGCCCCACGTCAAGAACGTCATTGATTTCTCTAAATAAGAGGATGACAGCTTGCAGTGATCGTCCAGGGTCTTATGGACAGGGCCTTGATCTCCACCACCACAAACTAGAAACTCCAACAGCTATCGAACGCAAGAAGGCACAAACTGGTTGATCATGGTGGATGCTGACATCCGGAAATAGCTGTTCACTTGTAAAAGGAGAACCATCAGCCTAACGATGGATCGTTAGTGCCCTGATGGCCGCTTGCTAGTCACAGAGGGCTGAGTGATACTAGCAATAACGATCGGTTGTTGGAGGACTCGACTCAACCTTCTTAGATTTCTCTACCATTGAGCATTCATCACAACTATTTAATATTTATGCTATGCAAAAACAAATGCTACGCAAACGCTAACCTGCTAAATGATGTTAGCATTAGTATGTTAGCATCTAGCACTTCAGGTAAGAGACAAACGAGCTAACATGCTATCCAGACAATATTAGTATATTAGTACATATAGCATAGTAATCATGCTAATCTATTTAAAACTTAGCATAGTTTCAGAGAGCAGTTTTTGACATGTATACTTTTATATAAAGTAGTAAAACAGTACAATCTTCTGTACTGTGTTGCCGTTTACTTTATCAACAGAGAATGCTACAGTTTTCTGCGTGTTTGAGGAAAAATATTACACTTAATAAAGCAAATGTGATCATAAAGTTGCAGAATGTAAGTTTCTTTCAGCTGCTCCTTTCTTCAGGGGTCGCCCCAGCGAGCAAACTACTATCAAGACTTGGCAATTGTTTTACGCCGGATGCCCTTCCAGATGCAACCTGGGCTCGAACACGCAACCTCAGGATCACAAGACGGCACGGCACTGACCACCGAACTACCGCAACCCCATAAAGTTGCAGAATGTATTTGTCCATAAAAACATGTTTCATTCAATCTACTCCAACTCAATCCTCCCTTCATAGTTTCCTTAAAAACCAAAGCTGTGTCCAAAGAAATCAAGATTCCTATAAACTTGGTGCTTTTTACCAAATTATATAGTTTGTACTTATTATTCTATACATGTACTTTGTCCTTGTGCGTAGGTGTGTAAGGATGTACGACACCACTCTTGTGTCAGCTGCTGGCTTACCTCCTAATGTGCTCAGGCTGTAGAAGCAGCACAAAAACAAGAACTTGTCCAGACTTTTCATGGTGCCTCTAGAACCGAACTTGTTCCGGTTTCCTAAGAACCGATCTTCAAACCGGTCGATCTTGCTTCTTACAATCGTTCCTTTTCCTGATGGTTCAGAAAGGAGCAGCTGAACTCAGTTTTGTTTTGTCCAGTTTGAACTGTAGTCTGTCAGTCAGACAAGTCTGGCCAACTGCTGCATGCTCCGGTTACATTGAGGAGGGAGGGGGGCCTTTCTGCACCTTAGCCCCTCAGTCTGTGTGGATATATCACTTTAGGTCTCACATCTTACAGGCCCCAAATCATCTTTTGTGTCTCCTCACCTGCTCCTTCTCTCATTAGGCACTGATCATGTTTGTACACTATCCGTTGTATTCAATTGTTTCCTGTTTTTGGACCAGTTAGCCTACACTCGGTGATCTGAAAGATCTCTTGAATAAATACAAAGTTTTACGCTGAATCCGTATCCTGAGTCCTACCTTTCACCTGAGACTCCTCAACGTGAGTCTCGGTGTTGAGGTTTTAGGTAACGCCCAGCATCGACGTGAAATCTCGTGTACGCACCACATGGCTGCAGTCCATAGTTTTTCCGCACTTGCGCAAGTAGATGAACAACAGTAACAGTGGCGGAGAGTGCTGTTTGTGCTGATCACTCTTTACAAATGAGTAGGAGTGACCCAACGTCATTCTCGGTCCAAACAGACAATGGTGTGCTCACCATTTCCGATCTAACTGTTTTCATGCTCAAGACTGAAGTGTCTGCGCGCATGCGCATCTCGTTGAAGCACAAAAATCACAGCGGATTCAATAAGCGCAGGTTTCCAGAGTAAAGGTATAGTTTTTACACAAACATAAAAAAACACTAACATTTCCAGAGATCATTCACAATCAGGGCTTAGGTTGTTTTTCTTTCAGCTGTTCCCTTCTTTACAGGTTGCCACGGCGAGCGAACTCTCCTCCAAATGCTCTTACTGAAGCAAAGTGGGCTCAAACCTGCGGCCTCAGGATTATGAGACCGCGGCGCTGGGCTACACCAGCCTGAAAACAAGGTCTTGCTAGTTTGTATGTAATTCTGAAGGATTTTATGGTTTGGCCAGTTACGAAATAAAATAATAACAATAATAATGCACTAACCAAACACACATATGTGTTAAAGTAGCATCTATACCCTTAGTTTACTGCTATAGTTGCTCAAAACCTTTCAGCTGCCAAACACAGCTTTATTTTCCAACATCCCATGAGGCAAAGCATTTCCCTCCTCTTTCATAAATCCCTCCACTCATCTTTTCATGCCACTCCACTCCCACATTTATCTTTTACTGATCCACACGACCATAATTTACGATCTGCTGTCACCGCCATTTGGCCCGCGGCCAATTTAATTATCAAATAAGCTAACTATTAACAGCTAGCAGCCAACATCAAGCCTCACATCGTATCTGTGGTCAAGAGGGAGCATGTAAAAACACCGCTGGCCATGACTCAAACTCAAGATTTAATTTAGTAATTTCATGTAGTTAAATTGGATTAAATGTTTACCCATGATGATTACTTTTTATTTTATTAGCAAGTGCTGATGTGAGCTAAACTAGAGCAATAAGGTTGAAGCTTCATCCTTTTTTACAATGTTGCGGTGGTGTTAAAATAATTCTTATAGACCGTTAAAAGATGGTGTCGGTGTCATGGATTGTGGAGGATACGGACCTAGAAACACAGGTTGACACAAGGAGTTCAAGTAAAACATGAAGCGCTCGATAACAATAAGAGGAAAAGAAAAGCAAAAAGGCTGGCGTGGCGGCAACACAAACTGAAGAAAGAAGAACCTGAAGTTGAAAACAGCACAACCTGCAGAAGAATGGGGACAGAGATATACGTGGACTGAGAGACAGCTGAGCTTAATGAAACAGGGAACAGGTGTAAGTGGGCGGGGCAAGAGCAGAGGGGCAGAAACTGAGGAAAAGTACCAAGAAAAATGAACTGACCACAGAGTGAAACCTAATAATAAAAAAACGGATCCCGACAAGACGTTGCTTTTTATTTTGGTCTCATTAGAAGCAAAGTCTGTGACTTTGTGATAAGTCAAAAAGTATCAAAATTAATTTAGCAGACACCGAGCCCTTTTCAAATAAAGCTAACTTTGAATAATGACACTACAGAAGGTGCAAACTAGTGCTGGGCGGTATACCGGTTCATACCGAAAACCGTTTTTTATTTTCGTTATACGAATTTTCCAAATACTGACACACTAAATAAATAGCCTGAACAAGTTCGGAACGTTACGTCACACCCGCTAGTAAACCGTTTCATGGGGGACGCTTTTGTGTGCGGCACCGCTGAACGTGCAGGCAGGAAGTAGCAGCAAGCTAGTGTCTGTCTGAGCAGCCTTCTCAATAACTGGTGATTTTGCTGCTTGTATTGGCTGACAAAAACAAAAAAACTCCCGTTTTCGCAATCGCTGAATGTAGAATGCACCTCTTCAGTACGTACAGAGTTTATGCGCAAAGTAAATTGCCCTCTAACCCGCCGCTCACTGCTAATGTGACGTGAGCCCAGAATACGCGACTAATGACTACAACCAGGGAAGGAAGAAACGACAGAGGATGGAAACAGAGCCACAGAGAGAGGTACAGTAAAAGTAAAACGTTAAGAAATAGTTGGTGTTGCAGAAAGAGAGTAACTTCAGCTGGCCACGGTTTACCGGTATAATCGTTGAAAATACCATGATATAAAATTTGAGTCATACCGCCCAGCACTAATACAAACCTAAAATAAATGCTTATTATTGGTTGGAAAATAAAGACTACACTTTCAAGTTTAAAGTTTTCAGAGCTTGAGTCGGAAGTTTTTGTCTTGGACCTGATCATCGGTGGATACAAGGGAGTTGGGTGGATTCGGAGGACCCACGCAAAATTGGAAAAAATGGAGATTCTTCTCTGTCAATTCATCATTTGAGGAAACTATACTTTTAAATAAATATAAAAACAGCAAATCCCTCATTTATGTTGGCAAAATAATGCATTTGTTCCTTTAAGACGTCCTCCCCCATCAGCCTAAGTGGAGCCGTGGAGCTAGCATGAATAACGTTTACAGTAAGCATTTCCTTGCAGGAGATTTTCGTTAGTGTAGCCAAGAGGCACACCGTCCCAACCGGAGCAACTCAGTTCTATCCTTTGACAAGGCGCCATCTACGTTTTCTTCAAAAATTGCTTTATTACATCTCTGTGTGTGTTGTCCTCTCCGATAATGAAACAGAATTTGGGCATGACGGGTGTTACCGGTCCCTTATCAAGGTTCTACAAGGTGCATTGTGTTTCTCATCCACCCTAATGGTCTCTTCTTATCTTAAACACTGTTTACATTGCTTCTTGTGCGCTCTGCGATCACACAACAATGAGTATACCAGGTACTGTACATTCACCCAAGGACAATATGAAGCATGGAGAAGCTGGAAATCACAAGGTCGGCAAATCTAAGACAACCAGGACAAAAACGACTAACAGGGTTTTGTGGTAATTAATGTGGTGGATTTTCTGCAATAAAGGTAGACTCAAGAAATAAGTCTTTTGAGGTAATTTATTTAAAGAGAAATACGAAATAAAAGAAATACAAAACAATGAAATCGTAGGTTTTGATGCCATATAACAGGCATCAGGTTCAGCCGAACTCATTGGGTCTACGAACCAATCAGCCTCTCGGAGCCTCTTGTGATCAGAGCGTGCACGAACCCCAGACCCATACAACTGATGTGACTCCATGAGAAATTTGTCCAATTATCCAGAACAGAAGCTACAACAAAAGGTCTTATGAGGACTGTTAGCAGCCGAGATGAAACGTCATGACACTTTTGGATTCACAAGTATGAAAGTTTCTTTGGTGGAGAAACGGTAGGTCAGGTGGTAGAGCTGTCACCTCTCAGTGAGGTCACCGGGTCAAATCGTGGCCGGGGACCTTTCTGGGTGGGGTTTGCATGTCTCTCCATGAATGTGTGGGTTTTCTCCGGGTACTCCGGTTTCCTCCCACAGACTAAAAACATGCACGTTAGGCTGATTGGTAACTCTAAATTGTCCCTAGGAGAGGGTGCGTGAATGGTTGTTTGTCTCGTGTGTCCCTGCGATGGACTGGAGACCTGTCCAGTAACCCCCACGACCCAGAAAGGCAGAAGCGGGTAAAGATAAGAGACGGATGGATGAACTTTTCTTTGCAATTTGCACCGATGTGCAAATAGTTCTTTGAAATCAATAACGTATTATTTCATTCACTGTACAAAAGAAAATCCTTCCAGTTTTCTCATTAACTGTTCAGGAAAAACCTCCAACAGGACAGTTTTACTACTTTACCTACCCATTTTTCTTTACCTGCTTACTCCTGTCCAGTATCCTGGTGTGTACTCATCTCCAGTGGTTATCGAACGAGAAGTGGCGCACACTCCGGAAAGGTTTGTCAGTCCGTCCCAGCTGCCGATGTAGATCTACAGTAACTAGATAATGTCTAAAGAAATCACAAGAACAGTAAAATGCAGGGTATTCTATCTAAAGCAGTTAAAATTTGGTGAACCATAGTCTTAGTGTTGCATTCAACTTGGAAAAAAATCCAAATTACTCTTTTGACCCTCCTGCTGCCATTGGGTCAAAATGACCCACAATGTCTTAGTGTCAAGACTATGGCTTTGTAGGACATTTGACCCAAGGGCAGCAGGAGGGTTGTATCAACAGCCTGGCAAGCCAACTGCTACAGAAATATTATGCTTTCCTCTTTCTCTTCTTGTCAGAATGTTTACCTGCTGTTAAACTTCGTACGTCTACAGGTAAGAGAAAACATCAAGTCACAGTACTGGAGGACAACGTGCACTTGCATGTAAAGGCAACATCTCCTCTTTTAACACTTTCTAACATGCTCCTATTGGAGAAAGATGTTGCCAAAGGAAAGTGCTTCTACATAGAAATATGGTGCTGTGAACCACCACTGGTATCACAAGCCACCAATACTGAGTTTTATGAGTATTTCTGCTATATTTGGTTTCACTTGTTAAATTGTTGGTACTACATAACAGGAATGGCTTCAGAATCCCACCAACACTCCCCCCAGAAAAATAAGCTCTCCAGAGACCAGTGTTACAATCATACAAATATATTAGTTTGTTTTATTCAATTATATCCAATAATACATTTCTTTTGACTTTGT